AATCCTGGTGTTGCATTGTAGAAGCACTGGACCACAAGGTCGGTTTGCACCCCAAGGATGGTGGTTCAAATTCACCAGCCACTTCTTGGAAACCCTATACATGGATGCTGTGAGTTGGAACTGACTTGATGGCACTTAAGAAATAACAACAGGTAAAATATAGAATGATGCAGAAAGCATCAAAAGAAGATAGAAGAAATACAGAGTCACTGTACAAAAAAAAAGTTGATGTTCAACCATTTCAAGAGGTAGCATAACCAAGAACCAATGGTACTGAAGGAAGAAGTCCAAGTTGCACTGAAGGCATTAGTGAAGAATGAGGCTCCGAGATTTGATGGAATACAAATTGAAACTTTTCAACAAACTGATGTGGCACTGGAGGCACTCACTCATCTCTGCCAAGAAATTTGGAAGACAGGTACCTGACTAACTGATTGGAAGAGATTCATATTTGTGCCCATTCCAAAGAGAAGTGACCCAACAGAATGTGGAAATCATCAGACAATGTCATTAATATAGCATGCAAGTAAAAATTTGCTAAAGATAATTCAAAAATCGCTGCAACACACTGACAGGGAACTGCCAGGGGTTCAAGTCAGATTCAGACAAGAGCATGGAACTAAGGATATCATTGATGGCATCAGATGGATCTTGGCTGAATGCACAGAATACCAGAAAGATGTTTACCTGGACTATACAAAGGCTTTCAATTGTGTGGATCATGGCAAGCTATGGATAACATTGCAAAGAATGGGCATTCCAGACACTTATCTGTATTTTTGACCACACAGTTTACAGTGTGACTTTTGGCAAATTATGAGCTTTTTGAGTCTCTTCTGCCTCCAACATTCTATAAAAATGCCATGAGCTGTCCTTGGACTTACCATAGCCTGTGTTCAAGGCCATCTGCACTCTTTTGGAAAATCTTAGTTGGATATCAAATGAAATGATAGTTCCCTATGTGATTCTTAACGCCTTATGATTTCTAATACTCAATAAAGCATTGATTTTATAGAAGCTTACAAACAGAAAGAATGGAAGAATTAGTTTATAGATCATTTGTGTAAGATATAATGTCTCCATTGCTTGTCCTGTGAAATTACCAGTTTTTTTGTTTTGGTTTGTTTTGTTTTTGTTTTATAATCAAATGAAAGGTTAAACTCAATAGTATGGGCATTCTTCTCATTATAAATTTAAGTAAAATGATATTACATGAGATTTAGTCAATAAACCAAAGATTTAAATTTCAATATGTCAAGATTTGTAATCAGTCAGGCCATATAATCATGAATTTTTTGATAATAAACCTGTTTAAAAGCTTATTCATAGTAATCCCAAAGTTGAATTTACTTGGCAAAAGACACATGTTGAAAATAAGCCAAGATAAAAAGATTAATTTTAAAATGCAAGAGTGGAAACTAACCACAAACTATTCCCAAATTCCAAGCTCAAAAACCTCTGAATAAGAATAATAAAAATCATTTTCCATCTTTAATGAAATCTAATACTTTCTGGCTTGTTCAAAATCACATTTGGTATTAGCATCGTGAAGAGAGAATCCATGTTGTCTCCAACTTTAAGTGCTCTTTAGGCTTTCATTAATGAACCAAATAAACCCTTTTGAATACACTTATTACTATGTTTATGGGACCCAGTAGTGCAAGAATTACTGATGAAAACGCCTAAATGTTAACATTTGGATAAGAAACTCAGAAAACTGTTTAAAAACCATATACAGGGTTGCTATGAGTTGGAACTCACTCGACGTCAATTAACAACAACTTATTGAAAAGATATCTAATAATAAAACAGAGAAAGCAATGAAAAGACACATGTGTAACTGAAAGCTATGTGATGCTTTTAAATTGCTTAAAGATCACCATAAAGTTTTTTGGTTTTGTTTTTAAATTAAAAGATGGTGGTGGTGGCTGTGTGCCGAGGACTCGGTTCCGACTGATAGCGATGAGGCTGTAAATCTTTACGGGAGCAGAACGTCTCATCTTTCTCCCGCGGAACTATTGGTAGTTTCAAACTACTGACCTTGCGGTTCGCAGTCCGATTCGTAACCACTATGCTACCAGAGTAGAACATTTTAAAAAGAGAGGAAAGTAAAACACCCATAATCCTGAAGATGAATGCAGGCATTTATATTTTGCGTATTACTTTCATGCTGTGTCTAGAGAAAACCCTATGGAACACATGTCTACTGCGACACACATAAGGTGCCGTGAATCAGAATTAACTCAATGACAGCTGCCTTTCTTCTCTTTCTAAATCTATTCAGAAGGAATGAAACATGACAGCTAATAACAACAGCATATATATTTTTACATTTATAATGATAGTAATTGAACGATTCTGTATTTTTTCATATAATTATGCTCCCAACATTTTTCATATTGTCACAGATTTTTATTATGCCTATTTTTAATGATGGCATACTATTCTATCAAGTGATATAGCAAATTACTTGAAACATTCATTTGCCACTGCAATTTTAGTTTATTTTGAATGTATTTTTAAACATTTAATTATAGCAGTACCAACTAAAATTCAACACTGTGATTTTATTTCTTAATCCTTTTGGTACATGCTAATTTCACAGTGGTTTAAGTATACAAATCTTCAAGAGTTTTGAAGAACATGGAAAAGGCATATTAAATTTTAAAAAGTCAAGCATTTGATGATCAGAAGTCTCATAGCACTGTGTCACTTACTAGAAACAGAGTGATTATAAAGGTGCATAACCTGGACTCAGTATGCCTGGCTCTGGCCTTTGCCTTACACTAGCATTGTGCTCTGGGGAAATATTCTTCATCTCTGTGCCTTTGTTTTCTCATCTGTAAAATGGGAAGAATAATAGTTCCTACTTGAAAGACTGTGCTTTATATGTTAAAAGTGCTGTGTAAATATTGGCTCTTTCATATTAGAATAAATAGCTTTATATCTTTTTCTGTATGTTATAGGAAATCTACATGAAAGTAAGGTAGGTAACGAGTATTAGAACTATGGTGGCAGTTGTGCCACCAAGTCGATTCTGGCTCATAGCGACCCCTGTATAGAGTTTCCAAGACTGCAAATCTATAGAAATGGAAAAACAAACTTGAGATAATTTCTTAGTCAAAAGCTATTTCTTTTATAATTAAGTTTTACTAGTGGCAAAATTTGTCTTAATTCACTTAGCAACATTTAGCTCCTAAGCTATGGGGTTAGTATTTTCCCTACTTAGAAATAACTAGCAACCCACCTGAGATATTTCTGAACGTTCATTTTGTTGGCATAATCATGATAATAAGAGTAAAATAATCACCATCTCATTACAGACAGCCACGTGCCAGGGAAGCACTTTGTTGTAGTTAAGTGCCGCCTGGTCGGTTCTGGTTCTAACTCACAGCAACCATGTATAGGGTTTCACAGCTATAAATATTTACAGGAGTGGACAGCCTCATCTTTGTCCCACAGAGCAGTCGATGGGCTCAACCTTCAACCCTGTAGCTAGCAGACCAGTGCTCATCGTACAGAGCCGTAGCACTTCCACTGTTGTGTCTGTTGTGATTGTTGTTAAATGCCATTGAGTTAGTTCCAACTCCTAGTGATACTTGGTATAGGGTTTCTGAGGAGCACTGGTGGGTTTGAACTGTCAGTCTTGTGGTTAGCAGTCCAGTGCTTATGCTACACTGCCACATCTAGACTACACCTAAGTGTCTTGTTGTTGTTGTTAAGTGCCATCAAGTTGGTTCCAACTTATAGTGACCCCGTATAGGATTTTCAAGGAGCGACTGATGAACTTAAACCACTGACCTTACGGTTCAAACCTACCTTGCAGTCTGTTGCATTAACCCACAGTGCCACACCAAGACCATTATAATAACAGCCAAAAGGTGAAAATAACCCAAAAGCCTTCTAGTTGTCTAATGAATGAACAAAATGGAAAGTACTTAGACATTTAAAAATACTGTAAAATCTTCACAACAGCTCTGGAAAGAAATACTATTATCCCAAATGTACAGAGGAAAAGACAGACTCAATGAGACTAAATGACCACCCTAAAAAGACGCATTTGATCAGCATTAACCAGAACTGACTGATCCAAATTGTGTTAAGACGTGAATGATAGAGAAGTTCTGAGAATTAATTCTTTCGTAAGTATCCATATGGAGGTGTAGAAATTGCACCTTGTGGAAGGCAATTTGGCCTTTGTTTTCTGTTCTTTTATGCCAGACCAACTCCTGAAGCTAATGAGTAAGTCAGAGCTGACCCCCTGGAGGCCTATGCTGACTAAGTCTCATGAGGTACGGTATTATCAGTCGTGGCCACACAGTGAAGCTGATAAGAGCTCTGAACCCAAAAGCTCCGTTGAGCTTCCTGGTTGGTGAGCATGCACAGGACAGTGTGGCACATCCCACTTCCTGATATGGAAAGTCTGCAGTGTGACCTCCCTCAGACCTCACTCTATGTGTCTCTTGGTTTATGTCCTTTTGAGTTGTAATAAAGTTACAGCTGGAAGTATGGCACACTCTTCGTGGTATTCTTTCAGTCATCTCAGCAAGTGAATGAACCCCCGGGGACAGTGAGAGCCAGTAGAGGCTGGTGTCTATCTATTTTGACAGTCTGAAAAGTAGGTGCCTGTCTAACATGTGAACTCTGACTTAGCTCCAGGTGGCTAGGATAAGACAAGGGTGCCATGAGCATCTGGCCTGAAGGACGGTATCCCTCTAAATTGCACTCTCTGACCCAGCTCTGGATGGCTAGGATCAGGGAGAGTGTGAGTCTCTGTCCTGTGAATAACTAGCGACAAGGATAGAGAAATGGGAAGGTGAGGATTGGACCCATTTCCACATTTTTACCAATCTTTGCCATGCCATTATCAACAAAGGTGAAATTTCCCCACTGTGCCCCTTGCTTAAAACAAACATACCACTAAATTTTACCATTTACCATACCACCAAATATCCCACCAAAGCTTCGTTATGCAACATTGTTCCTTTTTGATGTTTTAGGTACGGCGATGGATCAAGAGCCCAATGGTCAGTGTGGACAAGCATCAGAGTCCCAGTCTGAAGTACTCGGGGCCCTCAGTAGTACACATTCCTCCAGGGGAGTCAGACTTTGAGTCTTCCTTGTGTCAGACATGCCTGGGAGACCATGCTTTCCAAAGAGGCCTCCTCCCTCCTGAGAAGGAGTCATGTTCATGGGAAACCCAATCCGACAGTGAAGTAAGTTCCTTTTTGTTCTGGGTCCAATCTCCTGGGAGAATTTTAGGCCTGCCTTTATGAGTATATGTGTGTATGCATGTAAGTATGTATTTTCCATCTGCCTACCGCAGTTAACAAAAACAAAAACAAATTGCCATCAAGTCACTTCTGAGTCATGAACCACATGTGTTACAGAGTAGAACTCTGCTCCATGGGGTGTTCTTGGCTATAATCTTTACAGAAGAAGTTCAGCAAGACTTTCTTCTGCAGCATTACTGGGTAGGTTCAAACCACCAAACTTTTACATTACTAACTGAGCAAAAACTGTTTGCACTACCCAAGAAACACCAAGAAGTTCTGTAGAATCAGCACTAGACTGCTAAATGCAAGGTCAGTGGTTCAAATCTACCAGCTGCTCCTCAGAAACCCTATAGAGGGTTGCTATGAGTCAGAGCCAACTCTGCAGCTCTAAACAACAACAAAGTGCCTCCTTCAGGAAAAATATGGGGTTTTCTGCTCCTGTAAAGATTCACAGCCTCAGAAACCCTATACTGGGCCACTATGAGCTCAAAGGCACTTAACAACACCAGGGAACACCATATGTTCCATAGTACCAAAGTGGTTTTCTGAGGCAGGTTTACAAAGTTTTCTAGGAGGATTAGAATTGTGGTCTGTGTTAGTCCCACCATGCTAGGACTGATCTGGGGGCTCAGTGAGAAAAGCCCTGGACTGCAACCTTGTTCACAGAAGTCATCTACAGGCTTGTTGTTGTTATTAGGTGCCAGTGAGTTGATACCATCTCAGAGCGACCCTATGCACAGCAGAATGAAACACTGCCCGGTTCTGGGCCAACCTCACAATTGTTGACACACTTGAGCCTGTTGATGTTGCCATTTTGCCAATCCATCTTGCTGGGGGTCTTCCTTTTTTTCTCTGACCCTCCACTTTAACAAACATGATATCGTTCTCCAGTGACTGGTCCCTCCTGACAATATGTCCGAAGTATGAGAGATGCGGCTTGGCCATCCTGGCCTCCAAGGAGCACTCTGGCTACACTTCTTCCAACACAGATCTGTTGGTTCTTTTGGCAGTCCATGGTACTTTCAATAATCTCCTCCGATGCCGTAACTTAAAAGCATCAATTCTTCTATGGTCTTCCTTATTCACTGTCCAGCTTTCGCTTGCATATAGGTTATTGAAATTACTATAGCTTGGGTCAGGCGTCTCTTAGTCTTCAAGCTGACAACTTTGCTCTTCAACACTTTAAATAGGTCTTCTGTAGCAGATTTGCCTAATACAATATGTTGCTTGATTTCTTGACTGCTGCTTTCATGAGTGTTGATAGTTGATCCAAGAAGAATAAAGTTCTTGACAGCTTCAATCTTTTCTTCGTTGATAAGCATGTTGTTTATTGGTCCAGTGGTGAGGATTTTGTTTTCTTTACATTGAGATTCAACCCATACGGAAGGCTGTGCTCTTTGATCTTCATCAGTAAATGTTTTAAGTCCTCTTCACTTTCAGCAAGCAAGGTTGTATCATCTGCATATCGCAG